ATTAACTAACTAAAATTTATAGTTTTTTTCACATGCCCTTAGTTTTTACCTAATGTTTTCTTTACATAATGTTTTCTATGCTGTCCCAGTATATCTTTATATCTACAATATCTATAATCTATAATATCACATTACTTTAGTTGTCATGTCTCTTCAGATTCTTCCCATCTGATCATTTCAGAGACTTTGCTTTGTTTTGATGTTCTTGACAGTTTTAAGGAGTACTCATCAGGTATATTGTAGGATTCTTCTATTAAAATGTTTCTGGCATTTTCCTTATGATTAGCCTGAGATTCTAGTGTCTTTGAAAGAAGATCACATGTAAAGTGGCTCTGTTTCATTACATCATATCAAAGATACATACTATTAACATGATTTATGACTGTTGATGTTGACCTTGGCCACCAGGCTGAAGTAGCATTGTCAGGTTTCTCTTCTGTAAAGTTTTGTCTTTATACTCCTTTTTCATACTATACTCTCTGGAAAGAAGTCACCATCACAGCACACACGTGAGGGAGAGTTATGCTCATCCTCATTTAGTGTAGAAAACCTACAAAATTTATTCTGAATTATTCAGCACAAGAGATTTTTCTTTTCTTCTCCTTTATTCATTTATTCAAATATATTCATATATCTGTATGGACTCCTGGATATTTATTTTATGCTTTGAGTTATAATATCATAGTAATTTACCTGCTATGTTTTTAAAATTATTTCAACACTAGATATCTGGAGGACTTTTGGTTGACTCCTGTGTTCCTTTTAGATATCTCCATAAATGAGAACTTTTTTTGTTTTGTTTCTATGTGGAGCTATTTGTATCTATGTTAACATAAACATGAGTTCTTCATCTGGTATCTGTCATCTACATACTAGAGAAGATAAAACTCAGCTATGAACAGTTAAATAATGGACTTAAGGGCAAATACACAGTGAAGGTGAAACTGTAATTGAAACCAAGAGTTACCTAACTTTAAAACCTAGGCTTATATCTGTTTCATGAAATTTTCTACATAATATATTATTTTTTCCAGTTTCAATATACATACAGAGTATCTCGAAATATTGAAATATACAGTGTATACTGCAAACTAAGTTGCGGTAATATAGTGTCTAAACAGAACAGAATTACATTTCTTCCTAACAAGCAAACAAAAGTTGTCAGTGGGGAGGAGTCTCTGGCTGCAGAGCAACTTGGCTCTAAGAGGTTAGTTAGAGACTAAGGCTCTATTCTATCTCTTTGCTTCATCACTTTCTGAAGTTTGCCCTTATACTTGTCATAAAAGCTACCTCACCATGCCATCTACATTCCAGGTTGTGAAAAGGAGAAAGAGGAAATCTGCCATCAATGAGGACATCATGAAGAAGTTTCAGAAATTGCAATTATCACTTCCACACACATCCCATAAGTCTAAACTTAGTCATGTGAACTGCACCCATCTACATAAGAGGGAAGGGAATGTGATCTCTAACTGTGAAGCCACGTGCCCAGCTAAGAATCAAGCCTATTGTTAAAGAGGAAAGGGAGAAAGGGCACTGTGAGTAATTAATAATCTCTCCCACACTCTGATTAACTTCCTCTTACAGGAGAATTTTGATCATTATCTATTAAAATTAATCAAACGTTAACATTTCATGATAATTAGAGTAATTTTAAATGCCATATGTTTATGTTCATAAATAGAAACAGAAGTATGTGATGTGTGTACATATGGTTAGAAAGGAAACTTGAGCAGGAAAATAGATGAAGTAAAAATACAGGACAAATGTGAAAGAAATAGAGAAAAATCTGTAGAGAGAAAAAGAAGAAAATGTAAAAGGCCAGTAAAACAAAAATAAAAATTGCTGGAGCTAGACTGATATATTTATTAATACCTAGTATTAATAAGTATCATCATTTAATGTTGTCATCATTATGTATTAATATATATTATGTGNGTGATTAGATACTTCAAACATGCATAAATGCAGATCTAACATGTTTTCCAAAAGAGCATTTAGGTGGGGACAATATTTCATGATATGAAATATTCTAAATATCCAAAACTTTGAGCAATCCTGAGCCCTGATCAATAACTGTAATAACTGGAATAAGTGCAGAAAATGGGCTTCATAAAAATTACTTTTTTCCATAACTTAATAGTATATTACTTGGATTCCTATACATTGTTATGTATAGTTGTGCTTCATTCAATTTCATAAATTAAACATGTTATACATAACTAAATATATGTTACACATATTGTTTTGTATGTATGTATTTTATTAATAGATGCTAACTTTAGAATAGCTGTAAATTTACAGAAAAATTGAGCAGATGGTTTTAAAGATTTCCTGTATTCCATCCTCCTCTGCACACAGTTTCCCTATTAATAAAATCTTACATTAGTCTGGTACATTTCTTATAATTTATGTACCAATATTGATATATTATTAACTAACTAAAATTTATAGTTTTTTTCACATGCCCTTAGTTTTTACCTAATGTTTTCT